GCTGTGGCTCAAGTGGTAGAGCCCTGGCCTTGAGCTGAAGAGCTGATGGACAGCGCCCAGGCCCAGAGTTCAAGGCACGATGGACCAGAAAAAAGAAAAAGAAAGGAAAGTGAGGATCTCCAAATTTGCAAAAATAGATAAAGGCAATACACATGAGCAGCTCCTAAAGTCATAGAAGAGCCAGCTCTGTGTCCTCCATCTGGAAGCTGCAAGGGGAGCTCAGGGAGCCCTAATCCAGCCCGAGACACGCCCTACCGCCTAGGAAGCAGGAGCTTCTCACCCTAGACTCTTCCAGACAAGAAAATTTAAAGAAAAAAATTGAAGGTGCATCAAACTTAAAAAAAAAAAAAAAAAACTGCTGCCGAAGCCAGGCACACAATTGAAACCCCAGCTGCTCAGGAGGCTGACATCACGGTTCAAGGAAGGAAAGTCCGTGAGACTCTTATCTCCAGTTAACCAGAAAACTGGAAGTAGGGCTGTGGCTCAAAGTGGTAGGGCACTAACCTTGAGCAAAAGAGCTGAGGGACAGTGTGCAAGCCCAGAGTTCAAGCCCCACCCCACTCAAACAACAACAAAATAAACTGCTGCCCAAAGTCACATAATTGGGTAAGAAAATCATAAAACAGGAAGTGAACACTGAGGAGAGCATGTCTGGGGGAGGGGCCGCCTATAGGTGAGAAAAGGCAGGAGAGAGTGTGTAAATACGCTTTCTGGACAATGAGTATTTGTTCATCTCCATTTGCTTTCCTGGGGACAAGATGAAGGTTCGTTTACTCAAAGAGGAAAGTAAAACCTTTGAAAAAGGATTTATAAATCCTTTGAAAAATATTAAACTTTGTATCACGGTTTCAGAATTTTCCTTAGGTATTCTATCTTCTTTGGAAAGGGAATGGACAAGCGGGTGTATTTTGAATGTTAGAGAGAAAGAAAAGAATGACTAAGGAGAAGACTACTACTTGGGGGGACTCAGGCAGGGTGGCACAGATCTCAGCACTCAAGTGGAGGCAGGAGAATCGTGAGTTCAAGGTCAGCCAGGGCTACATCATGAAATCCTGCCTCAAATTGAATCAATAAAGAATATTAAAGAAAAACACTATTTTTCTGATAAGAGCTAGAAGAGTAATCTATAAACACATCCTTTTGGGATGATGAAGGGGAAGGCTCTCTCCCCCCCATGCCAGATAATTCATCTCAAAACTGACTCTTTAGAAGTAGACAGATGCTGGGCTTGAGATTCCAGAATGAAATTAACCTCTTTAAGCAGAAGTGGGGAAGGGAGTTGGCGGGGAGCACTGAGACACAGAGTCCTCTTGCCCTGGGCTCCGGGGAGGCCTGTGTAAGCCGATAGCATGTTTATCTCTCAACATTCTTGTTCCTGGCTTCTACTCACTCTCTGCCTGCCCTGGGCCAACGCTTCCTTCTTATGAGTGAACTAATACTGAGAATATGAGTAAGGGTTTTGTCACTTTCTCTGGGATTTTTTTTTCTAGTCCTGGGGCTTGAACTCAGGCCTGGGCACTATCCCTGAGCTAGCACTTTACCACTTGGGCCTGAGCACCACTTCTGGCTGTTTCTGTTTATGTGGTACTGAGGAATCAAACCCAGGGCTTCATGTATGCTATGTAAACACTCTACCACTAAGCCACATTCCCAGCCCTCTCTGAGTTTTAATAACTATAACTGAAAATGAAGTCAAAGACACCCCCCCTATAGATGTTTATCGAACTAGAATTTGAACCAGTGAGCTTGAGGCTTATAAACAATCTGGTCATCCTCTGAGCTACCACAGGAAACCCTAAATGTCTCTTACCTTTCTTGTTCCAATCATACCCCTTTCCTTTCCCCAAATTTTCAAAAACTAGAAATATTCACCATCCATTTTATCAACTTGACATGGTGGTTCACAGGTATCATCTCAAATACCTGGGAGACAGAGGCAGGAGGATCTCTAGTTCAAAGCCAGCTTGGACAAAGTGAGACCCTCTCTCTCTCTCCCCCTCCCTCTTCTTCCCACCTTCCCTTCCTTCCCCCCTCCCTCCTCTGCCTCTCTCCCCTTCCCCCTGCAGTACTGGGGTTTGAACTTGGGGTCTTTGTGCTTTGAGCTATACATCCAGCCCCTTTGAGACTCTTACCTCAAAAACAAAGCAAAAACAGGTGGGTGCCAGTGGCTTAGTCTGTAATACTAGCTACTCAGGAGGCTGAGATCTGAGGATCATAGTTCAAAGCTAGCTTGGGCAGGAAAGTCTGTGAGACTCATCTCCAATTAACCACCAAAAATAAAAATTCAAAAGGCCAGAAGTAGAGCTGTGGCTCAAGTGGTGGAGTGCTTGCCTTGAGCAAAATAAGCTCAGGGACAGCACCCTGGACTTGAGTTCAAGCCCTAGGACTGAAGCCACACCACCATCCAAAATAAAAAAGAAGATAGATTGGCAAGTAGGTATATTCAGAAAAGTCGATCAAGAGCCCAGGCTTCCTCCTGCTCAATGTGCCGCATGTACTAAATGGGACACATTTGATAGCAATCAAGTCCAGAGGCTTACAGCTCCAGACCCTGAGCCTATTGCTGTGGGCCTATTGCCCCAGATTTTTTTTTTCTTTGTTTTGGTCGGTCATGAGGCTTGAACTCTGGGCTTGGGCGCTGTCCCTGTGCTCTTCAGCTCAAGGCGAGCCCTCTACCACTTGAGCCACAGCACCACTTCCAGTTTTCTAGTGGTTTATTGGAGATAAGAGTCTCACAGACTTTCCTGCCCGGGCTGGCTTTGAACCGTGATCCTCAGATGTCAGCCTCCTGAGTAGCTAGGATTACAGGTATGAGCCACTGGCGCCCGGCTTTGCTCCAGATTTTTTTTGACTTATGAGAACCCAGGGTTCCTGCTCTAGCTGTATCCACCAGTCGCCCCAGCCCCAGCACTTGGCAACTATTGCAGTCCTTGGCTTCGGGCAGCAGGCAGTAGCAAGCAGAAGTAAGGGGATGTCATCTAGCATTGCAGCTCTCAAATAGGCCTTGGGTGCTGGGACCTCAATCCTGCAATTAACAATTGTCACAGTTCTAGGGTGTCTGGAGGCCTGAAGCTGTTCTGGTTCATTAACAACCTCAGATCTTTCTTCTGCCTCAGCTGGCCACCCTCTCTCCCTGCTCACCTCTTCTGACCAGGGATGTTATCCCTGCTGCCTCTGCTCCCTGGTATTTTTGCCCAACCCACTTTCTGAAACTCTTCAGCTGCCTCTCATCCCTCTCGTGCTGTCACCTCCACCACTGTCACTGTAACCACCATCTCTGCCACTGCCATTGCTTGGCTGCCATTTCTGCCAAACCCTTCTCCTCTTTGTGTTACCTGCTCAGGGCCCTGATGAAGACAAAAGGTAAGCAGGATGCTGCGTGTGCTGCACAAGCAGTAATCCTAACTAGCTACTCAGCAGCTGGAGGCAAGAGGACTGGGCAAAAAGTTAGTAATAGTCTATCTCAAGAAGAAAAATCAAGCCCAGGGCTGGCGGCTCATGCCAGTAATCTTAACTACATAGAAGGCTGAGATCTGAGGATCACAGCTCGAAGCCAGAGTGAATTTAAGCCAGACCCTGGATTTAAGCCCCAGTACACACACACACACACACACACACACACACACACACACACGAAAGAAAAAATGATTTAAAAAGGTTTGTGGAGCCGGGCGCTGGTGGCTCACGCCTGTAATCCTAGCTACTCAGGAGGCTGAGATCTGAGGATCTCGGTTCAAAGCCAGCCCGGGCAGGAAAGACCGTGAGACTCCTATCTCCAATAAACCACCAGAAAACCGGAAGTGGCGCTGTAGCTCAAGCGGTAGAGCGCTCGCCTTGAGCTGAAGAGCTGAGGGACAGTGCCCAGGCCCAGAGTTCAAGCCCCATGACCGACCAAAAAATAAATAAAAATAAAAATAAAAAGGTTTGTGGGTATGGCTCAAGTAAAAGGATACTTGTTTATCACAGTCTAGACCCTGGATTTATTTACCAGTACTGGACCTGACATTGCAACACCAGGAGGCAAGGAAGCAATGTGTCTTCAAGCTGACTGACAGCTGAGGCAAACAGCCTACTAAAATAGAAAGGGGGTGTGGCAAGGCTGTTTACACCAATCATAGAAGACTGATGCAAATGAAGGATGTTTGCACCAATAACACCACAGTCCCTCATGCAAATGAGGGACTGCACTTGCACCCATCATAGCAGACCCTCCTGTAAATAAAAGTCTGAGTCTGTACCCATCACTGCACTGTCTCTCATGTAAATGAGGAAGCAAGGCTGGGTGTGTGGCTCAAGTGATAATGTACCTGCCTAACAAGCAGAAAGCCCTAATTTCAAATCCCAGTACCAACAGGTGAGGGACTGAATTTGCACCAATTACAGCAGTCCTTCATGCAAATGAAGAGCTGCACCAGACACAGGCCTGATGTGCCTCCAGGGGAAGTGCTCTCCTTCTGGTTTGGGTATGAATGGCTGCGGGGTCATCTAGACATCACTGAAGCTTAAGATGACACAGAATCCTTTGTAATCTGTTTGAAACACTCATAGCAGTACCTTTCCAAGCCAGAGTTTGTGCTTAGGTAGCAAGTAGCTGTTGGTGCTCTGTGGCTTCCTTCAGGTGTTTAGTTAAGTGTTTAAAGCAGCTGGCTGGCATGGGTCCCGCTGACTGCCTGACAGTCCTTCACTCAGGCACCTGGGCTACTAGGGGAGGGTCTAATAGCTGCCTCTTAGAGGAGTCAAATTACCCCAGCCCTACCAGCTTATTTAAAGGAAAAAAAAACATACTAAATGGGTCCTTACAGCAAATGCTTATGTTTAGCGTCAGCAGTGATTTAACAGTGTTTTAACAAAGCTTAAGCTCTGTCCCCTGCTGCAGGCAATGGTTCCCCCACCCCCAATTTGCCTCAAATTTATCACTATTTTTCCCCGACTTTACCAAATATTAATAGAGGTACTGGGGACAGTTTCTTAAAATTACATTTTTCCAACAGGGAAAACACATGAAGAAGGAAAAACACAAAGACACTGTTTACGAACCTAAAGATGTTTTGAATCTGTCTCTCAAAGTAACACATTGTTGCAAATCGCTGTGGGCGAAATACAGTTTTCAGAAGGCTTACATGACTCAACTTGTCAGCTCCCAGCCTCACTCGGCCATGTCCAGGAACTCAGGTAAGCATCACATAACATAGATATTTGACATAGTGTTAGGATCCATCCTGGCTGCTCGAGGCAGGCAGGCACAGGAGAAAGGTTATTTTCAGGTTTATTAGAGGGGGCCATATCTCCCCAGGGTGTCTGCTGCAATTCAGGTGGGTAGCTCTGGACTAGTAGTAAGGTAGGTCTGGGCGGAGAGTAGAAGTGGCCAGCTTTATTTCTAGAACTTCTCCCTAGATGGGAGTTAAGGACCAGAGGTGGAGATAATGCTAACACATAGCATGTGTTGTTTTTTGTATTGATGACAAAACTAATTGGGTATTAACTGTATTATTTGAAAATTAGTGATAAATCTATCACTTATTAGTGATAAATTTAAAACTGGCCAGCCAGTAGTGGCTCCTGTCAGTAATTTTAGGTATAGACAGCCATACCAGGGTAGCCCTAGCAGGAAATTCAAGAGATCCATAGCTGGGTGCAGTGGGGTGTAGCTGTCTTCCCAGGCTACCTGGGGGGGCTGAGGTGGGGAGGATCATGTTGCCAGGTCGGCTTAGAAGAGAAGTTGTACATAGTGGCACATGCTTGTGATCCTAGCTATGGTAAGAATCCTAAAAAAGTGGGTAGATGGTTGGTTAGGCAGCACCGGTGCTGGAAGGAAGACCCTATCCTAAAAATAACTTGGCTAGCAGAGCCAGGCTCACTGGTGATCATCTCTATATTCCTAGCCACTCAGGAGAATGAGATTTGAGGTTCACTGTTCAAAGCCACTTGGGGCAGTTAACCAGCAAAAAGGTAGGAAATAGAGGCATGGCCCAAGTGGTAGATCATCAGTTGTGCACGAAAAAGCCAAGCGAGCCTTGAGTCCAAGCTCTTTCTTGGCCTTCCCTGTCCCAGGAGGCTTTGAACTGCAATCCTCAGGTCTCAGCCTCCTGAGTAGCTCCCAGGGTGACAGGCATGAGCCACCAGCACCGGTTAGAACTTATGTGTTAAGGCCACCAAGCCTTTGCCCGGTCCGTGTGCCGCTTGGTCCAGAGCTTGCTGGTGAGCTCATTTACCTAAAATGCTCGTCTAATTACACTTTCACCGGGAAAGCAGAGGCGGGGCGAAGGATGGGTGACGCTTCATGCAGAGTAACAGCCAACAACCGAACCTGCCTGCTCGTTTTATGCCCAGAAGCCGGACATTTTACACTTAACTGTCCACATACAGGTATTTTAGTCCGGAGGGCTTACAGGGGGTGCTCATTTCGCGGAGGACACTCGGAGGGGGTCAGGAGCTGTATGCATACTGTGGGGTCCAGAGCCCCAAAGACAGGGAAACTCAGTCCAGTCCGGCGTAAGACCGGGCCTGTACCGCGGACAGCGGCCTCGGGCTTCCCGCGTCAGGCTGAAGACAAGGACCCGAAGCGCCCGGCCACTGGAGCCCGCGGTCCGCGCGCAAGCCTCCCATTGGCCACTGCTTCCCACGTGGCCGACACGCCCACTCACTCTGCAGAGCGCGCCTCCCATTGGTCATTGAGAACCACGTGGTCGCCACGCCCACACCGCGGGCCGAGCGCGCGAACCCCGGGTCCCCAACGGCTTAGATTGGAGCCTCGGAGCGAGGTGCGCACCCCGCCAAGGTGCCGGCGGCCGCTCGGAGAACCCGGGTGGATCTCTGACGAGGAACCTTAGGAAAACCCTGAAGGGTTTGCCTCTAAGCAAGCCGATTGTTGAGATTCGGCTTCCGACTCCGACTGGCTCTGACGGGGTCTAGGACGCCGGCACACTGAAAACGCGATCGCGAGCCACTCGACGGCCGACGCTGAGATTTACCTTTGCTGCTTTGGGTAAAATGTGCACCTATAAACAGAACTCCGGCAGAGCAAAACAAACCCCACACACTTCTGTACGGGAATGGAAAACAGCTTTTTCCAAGAAGAGTCGGGGAGATGGGCAGGGGCCTGGGGACGGACGCAGAGGATTGCAGGAAGCCAGGGCAATTGGCAAGTCGGGGCGGGGGGCACTGGGGTAGTTAGATGGAAGAGGAGGCCCCTCCCAGCCCTGCTGGGGGACAGGACGAAGGACGGGGCATGAATGGAACACGTCAATGTAGAATTCAGCTGTTTCTCCTTTGGAAGGGGGTTTACTCTTTGCCTCCCCCCCCACCCCCCCGTCCTTGCTTCTTGCCCATCCTCAGATCTCAGCCTCCAGAGTAGCTAGGATTACAGGTGTGAGCCACCAAGCCTGGCTAGAAGTTAGTTCTTTAAAGCACCTAGCAGGTAGTTTGCACACAGTGCTGGTTCAGAACACTCAGTAGTTGGTGGAAGCAAAGTTTGGAACCCTCATTCAAAGACACTGGGTAAAACACTAATTGGGAAAATGCAAAAATCTGGTCGAGCATATTCAGTGAAACAACTACTACTACCACACACTGAGCACCAAGGTGGCTGTTGGCATCGAGAAACTGAGTTTTACGTTCTATTTCATTTTAATTTGAAAAATTGCTTTGAAATTTTAACTTGAAAAATTAAATCACAAAATTGTGATGAAATTACTGAAAACTTTTTTTGTTGTTGTTGTTGGTCTTGGGGCTTGAATTACTGGGCCTGGGCGCTGTCCCTTAGCGCTTCAGCTCAAAGGCATGTGCTCTACTAATTGAGACACTTCCTGTTTTTTGGCGGTTAATTGGATATGAGTCTAATGGACTTTCCTTGCCCAGGCTGGCTTTGAACTGTTATCCTAAGATCTCAGCCTCCTAAGTAGCTGGGATTACAGGTGTGAGCTAGGATTACACCAGCCCCTGGTCTCTGAAAGCTTTTAAGAACAAGTTGTTTGGAACAACTTAGATATTTCAGTTTTCCGTTGGTGGCACTGGAGTTTGAATTCTAGGCTCCTTTTGTACCACTTGAGCCACAGTTTGTTTTTCAGTTTGGGTCTCTTGCTTTTTCTTCGGTTTGTCTTGGACCACAGTCCTCCGCTCTCTACCTCCTCAAAGTCAGGGATTACAGCTGTGTACCACCATACCCCTCCCTAATGAAATATATATGTTTTTTAAATCAATGCAGATCACAATCCACTGTCTCAGTCCAAGGAGAACAGCACAGGCCAGAACACTCCCCAAGAGGAAACAATCCGGAAGTTTGCCATGCAGCTGAGGTACATTGGGGACAGCATCCACCACAGGATGGTCCAAGAGGTAAGACTTCTGGTTACTCAGCAGAAGTGCAGAGTTCATTGTGGTCAGGGTGGTGTTTGGGATAAAGAACTGGAAGAAAGGGAGTCTGAGGACAGTGAAGGTGCACAGGGAAGGACTCAACAGAAAGGTGACTGAGGAAAACCCTCCAGGAGCGAACCCCTCTGTTTTCCCAACAGGATCTCCAGCAGGAAGGCAGAGAGGCCCTGGCTCATGTTGTCTTACTTGTCTATAGAAGGGTTCAGGTGATGCTCCGCTTTTTCTGGAACAACCATTTGCTATAAAAAGGGAAGTCAAGTGTCCAGTTCTGTTTTCCTCCTGCCTTCTGAGACCCACAAATGGAAGCGAGGAAGACGGCACACCTCCTTCTCTCCCCCTCATTGTCGTCCATGTGGCTTTGTTGAATGGCGGACTCCTGGGCTGTTTGTCTACAGCAGGCAGTTGAGAGATGTGGAGAATAATCCAGAAGCTGGGAGGCCCAGTGCCCACAAAATCGTCATCTGTGGTGGGAAGCTGGAGCCTTTCCTTCCTGGAATGGCACAACATTCTGGAATCAGGAGCTTTCTCCTGAGCCTCTCCGTGATCCGTGAGCCCCATGCTTGTGAGCCCCATGCTTGTTACCCGTGTCCAGATCTGCAGTGCCAGCGCCTCCTTCCCACGCATGTCCGGCTCTTCCCCTTTCTGGAAAATCAGAAGGGCCCCCATCTAATGTTCCAGTTCAACCAGGCCCACAGACACCCCCTCCACATGGCCAGCTCAGCCGGGGGTCCTAAACCCTCCCCTGGCTCGTTTTCCTTCATTGTTTCCTGTTCATTATTTTTTTTATCTTCCTCTTAGTTACTCCCCTACCCTGTGAAAGGAATTGTAAGTATTAAGGACGTTTACTGTTACTTGAAGTTTTATGTGTGCATCTTGAGTTCTCCATAGGAAAAAGGTTATTTAAGACACTCATTTAAAAGATGAAATAAATACTGTTGTTTTGCTGAGCATGAAACACTTGTGAATATTTCTTTTATGAAGGGGGGAATTCCACTCACCCTGCTCACTTTAACTTCTAAATTTGTCAACATTACATATCCTTTCCTGCCTAGGGAAGTTTCCCCACCTTTTTTTGTCCTGTCATTTAGTCGTGGCTAGCTGACAAGGAACAAACTTTGAAACCTGCTTTTCATTAAAAAAAAAAAAAAGTTTGGGGCTGGGAAGGTGGCTCAGTGGTAGAGCGCTTGCCTTGTATGCCTGAGGCCCTGGGTTCGATTCCTCAGCACCACATAAGCAAAAAGAAAAAAAGCCAGAAGTGGCACTGTGGCTCAAGTGGTAGAGCGCTAGCCTTGAGCTGAAGAGCTGAGGGACAGCACCCAGACCCAGAGTTCAGGCCCCACAACCGGACCCCCCCAAAAAAATTATAACACTATAAAAAAGATTTACAGTGAAAACTTGGGGGGCAGTACTGGGATTGAAAAGTCTTCATACTTTCTCCACAGATTCTCTGCCATCGAGCCCCACCCTCAGCCCCTTTGTGCTTTAGTTATTGGGATAGGGTCTTGTGCTTTTTCCAGGGCAGGCCTGGACCTTGATCCTCCTATTTACCCTTCCTGTGCATTGGGGATGATAGATTCAGAACACCACCATATATTAGTTAAGAGGGGGGGGAGGAAGGATATCATGATCTTTTCCCCCAGCCTGCCTTGAACTTCAAGTCTCCCAATCTCTGCCTCCTGAGTAGCTAGGGTCACAGGTGTGAGCCACCAGCCCTGGCTTACAGTGAAACTCCTGCTTTTATTTTCTTATCCTGAATTCTGTTTATTGCTTATATTTTGAGAGTTCTTTTTTTTTTTTTTTTTGGTTGGTCATGGGGCTTGAACTCTGGGCTTGGGCACTGTCCCTGCGATCTTAAGATCAAGGCAAGCGCTCTACTGCTTGAGCCACAGCACCACTTCCAGTTTTCTAGTGGTTTATTGGAGATAAGAGTTTCACAGACTTTCTTGCCTGGGCTGGCTTTGAACCGTGATCCTCAGATGTCAGCCTTCTGAGTAGCTAGGATTACAGGCGTGAGCCACCGGTGCCCAGCTTTGAGAGTTCTTTTGTACAAATGCTAGTGAAATATACTATCCCATATATGTGTGTGTGTGTGTGTGTGTGTGTGTGTGTGTGTGTGTATATACACACAGAGGACTCCCTGTGGATAGAGACTGGGTGTGCTCAATGCTCAGGTAAAATGAGTGGAATTTACATAAACCCATGCACACAGCCCTGTAGACTTTACATTTCCTCATACAATGCAAATGTTATGTAAATGGTGGTAAGATACTATATGGGGAATACTGAACATGTTCATTACAGAAGCAGTTTTTATATTTTCTCTGTGAGAAAGTATATATACCTGTCACTTATAAGCCCACTTCCCAACACCTGTCCTCTTCAGCTTTTGACACCAACCTAGGCTGTGTGTGTGTGTGTGTGTGTGTGTGTGTGTGTGTGTGTGTGCTGGTTCTGGAGCTGTCTCATTTTCCCTGATCTCTCCTGCCTCTGATCCTACCTCTTAAAAAGTTCCTGCTGCCTGCCAACAATGGCATGCTGTGCACTGAGTCTTTTCCATCCGGGCCTTTTGGGGACATTTCATGTCTAAACCACAGCACAGCCTTTCTTTGCTTCTTTCCCTGGCCGCCTCCACCCCTTTTAGAATCCATACTTTCTGTTCAAGTGTTCTCTTGAAAGTCTCCTATTAGCCAGGTTCTGGTGTCTCGTGCCTGTAATCTAAGCTACTCAGAAGGCTGAGACCCAGAAAACTAAAGTTTGAAGTCAGTCTGGGCAGAGAAGTCCACGAAATTCTATCTCCAAAATACAAGCAAAAAAAAAAAAGCAGGGCTGTAGGTGTGGCTTGAGTATTAGAGAGAAAATTGGGGGGGGGTCTCATAGAAACACACAGGAACGCATTACAGGAAGTGCTGGTGCTCTCGACCAGCCAGCCTCTGCTGGCACATGAGGTGTCCTCATGACTCAGAATCTCTGTCTCAGATGTGGGGGTGTCAGCAGCCCCTGTGCTTGTTAGTCAGTGTGCAGCTCTGAACTAAGCTGCCACTGGCATAGCCCCCAAATCTGGACGGGGAGTTTTAAAGTGGAGTGTTCTGAAACCAGAATCTGCTGCTTTAAGAAATGTTTTAATCACAGTCTTTTGTTTTTTGCCAGTCCTGGGGCTTGAACTCGGCCTGGGCACCGTCCCTGAGCTGCTTTGCACAAGGCTAGCACTCTACCATTTGAGCCACAGCACCACTTCTGGCCTTTTTTTTTTTTTTTTGTATATGTGGTACTGAGGAATCGAATCTGGGGCTTCATGCATGCCAGACAAGCACTCTACCACTGAGCCACATTCCCAGCACTAATCAAAATATTCATATTGCACACTGGGGAGTGTCTCTTCCCAGAATCCTTGCAGTTTCTGACCCCTCTCTCCCTCCCTTTTGGAGGGGGAAGATCTGGAATTGGGGAGCCCTGGGTCTCCTGATCTTTGAGTGGCTGGGAGAAGGTGGGAGGAGGTGAAATTCTGGAGAACAAGCCCAGACTTCTTCATAGAGGAGAGGCCTGCAGTTTAAGGCTAGCCCGGCAGGTGGGGCAAAACCTCTTTCTTAGCGCTGGTGTGAGCAGGTAGCACTTGCCTCCTTGGAAGCATTCTTCAACTGAGAGCTCTGTCAGCCCTGCTTGATCACCAGTGTCAGGAAGTTCACCACCTCCAGGGGGTGGCGTTAGCAGTGGAGAAGTGGGGGCAGGACTCCCCAAATGAACTCGCTGCCTCTCTATTCTCCCAACTTCTTATGAAAATCCCTCCCGCCCCGGTCCAGCCTGTCAAGGCTTCTTGATGCGTGTGGCTTTGATAAGTTAACCCGGGGTGCTGCCGTTCTGTTCCCCACGGGGCAGCTGACCTTGAAATGTGGGTCTTCACAGGAATGCGGCAGCCTCCAGAGAGACTGGCGATGGGTAGTGTTGGTGCCAGCCCAGCACCCATTTTTGGTGACTTCTGGAAGGGACCCCTGTCCTTCTCCCGTCCTCCAGCATGGCCATCTGCCCCTGGCACAGGGGAGGAGCTCGTAACCCAGCTGGATCAGCTCCCATGATCATGACAATCGATGCACCTGCCCATAAGCCAGGAGCAGACAACAGAAGTCACTCTCTGGAATTTCTCCAGCAGATACCAACCACCAACCATGAATTTACCTCCGCACTGGGTGGTGTGTGTGTGTGTGTGTGTGTGTGTGTGTGTGTGTTCTCTGTCCAGAGCAGATGGCAGAGGAGCAGGGAGGTGAAGTGAGATCGGATGGGGTGTCATATGAGCTATAACTGTGAACCCCAATCACCCGGACACTGCTTGGCTGAGCTGGTGTTTCTGCATTCGAATGACCAGCAGCCCTCTGGGTGGGTGATGTGATTGTTTTCTTTCCCTCTCTATGTGATTCTGTGGATTAACTGATTTTTTTTTCCCTTCATTCCCAAGGTGCTTTCCAGAGCCCAGGCCTGTGATTCATGCTCTCAGGAAAACCATAACAAGCGTGACTCAGGCAGGACTGGGCTCCTGTATCTGAGCTTTTCTTTCTCTTATCTCTGTGGCTCCGTGGTGATACAGCTTGTTTGTGAGTTGGTTCAGCTTCAAGAAGTAGAAAGTGTTCCAGGCAATCTCAGCGGGAAGGAGTCCGGGGCTGACAAAGTTACTGGAAGGGTTAGAGGGACGGGGTTCCAGATGGGGTCCCAGGAGGGAGCTGGGACACCTCGCCCCGGCCATGATGCAGCCAGTATGGAGCCATGGAGGCCCCCACCCCACCGCAGGTGGAGAGTGGCATGTGCAAACACACCTTCCTGACTTTGCTCCGTCACAAATCCTGGGTCAGGTCTGAAACTCTAGCTGCAAAGGTGTCTGGGAAATGGGCCTGTGAGCTGTCCAGCCTCTGAGGTAGAGAAAGGCATCCTTGATGGAAGTGGGGATGGAATGATTGAGGCCACCTCACCAGGGCCATGTGTGAAGGTCTATATCTCCACGTGGGACGCCATTATGCCCTTAGGTACGAAGGCTGTACATCCCCACTGATGAAGGTTTCATATCCCCATCCATGAACATTAGATGTCCCCATGCACAAAGCTCCTGTGTTCTCTGCAGAGATTCTACAGCCACATGCATCAAGTCCATGGCCTCGGTGTGAATGCCTTGTTCCCTCATGAATGCCCTTTGTCCTTGTGTATGAAGACCTGTGTCCCCATGTATGGTTGCTATTGCTGCTGGAGTTTCTGGGCAAAAGCTCCAGATCTGGGAATCCCAACAGACTTGACCAGTAGCAGCCAGGTGCCAGTGACTCATGCCTGTAATCCTAGCTACTCAGGAGGCTGAGATCTGAGGGCTGCAGTTCAAAGCCAGTCCAGGCAGCAACATCTGTTAGACTCTTATCTCCAATAAACCACCAAAAAGCTGGAAATGGTTGTGTGGTTCAAGAGGTAGAGCACTAGTCTTGAGCAAAAATATGCTCAGGGACAGGGTCTAGGCCCTGAGTTAAAGCCCCAGTACCAGCACAAAATAAAAATAAGACCAGCCTCCATTCCAGCACACACACACACACACACACACACACACACACACACACACACAGACTGGTAGTGGTGAAGGGTAGGGAGATTTATTCAAACATGGCAATGTTGGAAAGAACAGACAGAAGCATTCAGTGACCCCCAAGTCTGTCTTTGGGGTGCTGCCCTGGGCTTTGGGTTCAACTGGAGGGAGATGAGGGCAGGAGTTGAGGTCTGTGTGATCAGTCTTGATTAGTCTCTGGTCAGGTTGAATACTCCCTCAGTCCTGGTATTGTAAGGTGCAGAAGCCCTTGCTGCCTGAGAGGCCAATCCAACTTTTTGTTTTGTTTTGTTTTTGTCGGTTGTAGGGGCTGAACTCTGGGC